TAACCCTGTTGATTCACTTATTTGGGGTTTTACCTACGAAAACTGTGAATTCACTCATCTGCAGGAGAAGAAGACCACTGTGCGATAATTTGGGGCAAATGTTTGAAAATTACTTCGAAATCACTTTTTAAAGTTTTGACTTGAAAAATTTTTCTGATAAATCTGGAACTATGCACCCAACGGTGGAAAATGTAATCAAAGAAAATAGGAACAATTCATATTGTGGCAAACCTTGCTTGAAGAACAATACGAAGTTTAAAATAATCGTTTCTAGAAATTTTAAAAAAAGTTGAATAATTTGAATCAAAATGTGATAAATATAATGACGATTGGTGATAAATTCTAGACTTGATAATCTTGTAGTGAACTCTTCAATCAGCGTGAAACACTTTGTTTTTTCAAGGTTACGGAAACATTGTGCCGGCAACCTCGTCTGGTCGTATTGCATGCGTTGTGTTCGCGCTGTTTGGCGCTCCACTAGCCATCATCACTATAGGAGGTAGCTGATTATTTACAACCATGCTTGTTAAAATTCTAAACGCTTAAATTTTAGATTTGGGCAAATTTCTTTCGGAATGTACAATTTGGTTGTACAAAAAAATGAAGAAAGTTAGGGCTCTAGTACGAGCTCGATGGCGTCTGTTTCGAGGACTTACTAAAGGTAAGTGACAAATATCTTTGAGCTCGCAATAAGGGAATGAGGTGCAGTACTGGTTTTCTAAAATTGTTGCTTAAGAAAATCAGGACGCCGAATCGCAGTCATCCAGTGCACATTCCCTGGACTGGGAAGATTTGGTGATGGATAAAACGGAAGTGCCTGTCTTTATGGTTTTCACGATACTACTGGTAAATTTAAGAACTGAATTGCTTAGAATGTTTAGGATATGTAGTTTTGAGAAGGTGCTTTTTCTGCTTTCTCCGTACTTATTGTGTATTTTCGGCGAAAATCAACCGTGGATTAGTCCTCAAAGGGGCTCACCTTTGAACTGTGATTCTTCTTCACAATCAATCTTTGAAAGATTATCTCGCTTTTCAGCTCTACATAGCCTTTGGAGGAATTTTATTTTCGTTTCTTGAAGGATGGACGTATATGGATGCCTTCTATTACTGTAAGTCCCC